CCCAAACCATCCTGAGATTCCACCCCAAACCATCCTGAGATTCCACCCCAAACCATCCCAGAATTCCAACCCAAACCATCCTGGGGTTCCAACCCAAACCTTCCCGGGATTCCACCCCAAACCAGCCAGGGATTCCAACCCAAGCAATACTGGGATTCTACCCCAAATTACCCTGGGATTCTACCCCAAACCATCCTGGGCTTCCACAATCAGCCCCACCCTCGGCGACACCGATCCCTATATTGGCATTTCCATGAATTTTCCCGGTGAAAGCCCTCTCTGTTCTCCCCAACACCCCCCTGAGAGGTGGGAAAAGCAGGAAGTACCTTGTCCAGAGCCTCCTGGAGAACTCCCTCGGCATCCTCCCACTTCCCCTGGGCCATGTAACAGGCGGCCTGCCCATTCAGCAGCAGGAGGGTGGGGGAACACTTGTCTGCCATCTCTTGGAAAATGTAATAAGCATCTTGGAGCTTCTCCCCACCCTGCAAAACACCCCCAGGCTCGTCACCTGCTGCCAAGAAGCCCCCAAAAACCTTGAAGCACCGGGGGCAAAGTTCATTTCTAAAGGTTATAAAATTAAATGCTGGAGCACCAACACTCCCTGATCCCTGTGATCTCCTGCACCACAACACAGCAGCCAGAGCAGATCAAAGAAATGCATAAATATTAAATATTAAGAACCACTTAAATGATCAAATGAGCCAGGCTTGCCTTCAGAAAGGAAAAAAAAAACCCACACTCACTTCAAAAGAACCACTTCAGGTGTCTGACGTAATAAAGGGGGTGAAATGAGATTTTTAGGATTTTTTTTTTATAATTAAGCAACTTGGGTTCTCAAAAGGTTCTCCATCCAGGAAGGTTCTAGATCCAGGAAGGTTCTACATGCAGTGGTTGCTCCAGTTAGAGGTGGGATTTCTCATGGAAACCAAGACCATGAGGAAAATCCAGCCACACACTGATTTAATGCCAGGGCTACACGTGAGAGGTTTCACACCAAAACCAAGCAAACTCCAAAAATAAAATTGTTTTGATGGTCCAACAGGTTGTTTCCTGTGTAACCCTGGCCTTCAATGAATTTTAGGGGTTTTATTTTCAATCTGGCCTGCCAAGCTGAATGTTTTTGTCTGATTCACAAATGTCCTTAAGGACAGGCTGCTCTAAGCACAGGAGGACACTTTTTTCTTGGAGTCTGGGAACCAGGAGCAGAGCATTCCCACACTGGGATGTCTGGGGGGGTTATTTGAGTGTGGTTTAGCTCCTCCTGCGAGGAGGAAGAGCATCAAACCAGAGTTTGTGAAACCAACCCCCCAGAATGTTCTGTGCATTAAAAACTCAGCCCTGGGTGTTCTGCTGGAATCAGGACGTGAAAAGAGCCCCCAGGAACAGGAGCTGTTGTGGTTTTTTTGGGGGTTGTAGGGTCAGGGATCCCTGTCCCAGGTACCCACCACAGCCAGGTTCACCCAGGCAGTCGCCAGCTGGGTCAGAGTTGCATCCTCATCCTGCTCCTGCATCTTCTTCAGCTCCTTCCTGCAGGAGTTGGAGTCACACCAGAGAAAGAAAACAACTCCTTTAAGACACAACCAAAGGGCTGTGGTTTCTCCTCCCAGCTGGGACTGTGACAAACCCCTCAATATTTTACAGAACAATCCATGAAACACCTCCCTGTTTTACTTCCCTAGAGGTTCCAACCACGTCCTGCCGAAGGGAAGACCCAAACCTCGAGGTCCAGCTCTGCCTTTGGCCATTCCCAGCTCTGGTTTTGCAACTTGAGGAGCAAAACCACCCGTGGTTGTGTCACTGCAGGCGCTGGATCTTCTCTCCCTCGGGGCCCTGCCCACACAAACCCCACCAAAGAGCAAAGGGAGACAAACCCACCGGGCCAGGTCGAGCCTGTCGAGCTTCAGGAGGATCTGGATCATCATGGCCATGCTGGAAGGAACAAGAGAACAGGGATTTCCACAGCTGGACTCCAGGATCTTACTGGGATCCAGCTCGGGGTGTTGTAGGATGAGGCCCTGGAATGGATCTCCCAGAGAAGCTGTGGCTGCCCCATCCCTGCAAGTGTCCAAGGCCGGGTTGGAGCAACCTGGGAGAGTGGAAATGTCCCTGCTGGGTGGCACTGGGTGATCCTTAAGGTCCTTCCCATCCAAACCATTCCAGGATTCCATGACTGATCCCACGCCCCTGTTGTGGAACCCCCTCCCCGCCCCTCACCTGGGAGTGTCCCAGGCCAGGTTGGAGCAACCTGGTGGATGATTTTTAAAGTCTTTCCAAGCCAAATCACCGTGTGATTCCCTGGGCTGAGCCTGGGGGCCTGTTCCCAGCTCCCTCCCTGCCACACTGCCCGTCTCAGCAGCCAGGGATCCATCCCCAGGCTCCCACATTCCCAGGGCACTGCGGGAAAAGCACCAAAGCCCTGAGGAGCTTCCTGGTGCTTTCAAAGCTTCTCCAAGCCAGGCCAGAGCCCAGCCAGTGCCACACTGTCCTTGCTGGGGGAGAGAAAGGCCCTGCCCCAGCCCCAGGAGGGCTCAGCTCACCATTCCAGGCTGTCCCCCTGGTGCAGAGCCCTCAGGGCCGCGTCGGGGTTCTGCTCGTGGAAGTAGATGGAGGCTGCCATGAGCAGGAACGTGGTGTTGGCCACGTCCACACTCTTGGCCATCTTCTTGTCCAGGTCAGCCACGATGGAATCCCTGTGGAGAGCACAGGGGGATGGGAAATGAAGGAAAACAGCCCCGGTCCCACAGTTCTTTTTATATTATATCATAGTCTTTTATACTTTATTATGTTATAAAATGATATTATATAATTATACAGTATATTATGCTGTTTTATGTTATATTTTATTATGATATATCATTATATTGTAATGTTATATTTTATATTATTTCATCATATTACTTTATATTTCATTATAACACTATATCATAATATTATGGTATATCATATTATGTTGTATTGTTATATTTTATGTACTTTATATATATTATTTTATATTTATTATATTATTTTATTAAACTATATAATTTTATATTTACATACTTTATATATAATTATTATTTTATATTTAATATATTATTTTATTACACTATATAATTTTATATTTTACATACTTTATATATAATTATATTTTATATTTAATATATATTATTTTATTATACTATATTATTTCATATTTTACTACATTATAAAACTATACCATTACATTATATAACAATATAATTATATCGCTGTACATTATATGATACTATTTTATATTGTATTAGATTATAGATTATATTATACTGTTATACTTTATATTATATATTATTTTATTATATTATAACACAATATCACAATATTATACCACAATATTATACTGCAATATTATAACATTATATTACATCATATTACATTATATCACATTACATCATATCATAACACAATATATTATATTTTATATTATGTTATGTATTTTAATACTATATTTATTATATTATATTATATTTTAGGGGTTGATGTCTCTCACCTCTGGCTCTCATTTGCCAGGTACTCTGCCAACATCCTCACTGCCTGGAGCTCAGGGCTGGCACTGCCTTTGATCTCATCCAGGACCACTCCATATTTCCTCTGGGAAAGGCAACAAAGCCCAGCCTGTGAGTCCCTTGTTTTCCAGAAACAACTGTTACTCCCTAAACCCTCAGTCAGGACAACAAAACCCCCGGGAAAGGTGGATTTCTGCTTTATATCCCAAACACCCTGCACTGACACCACCCCCTGCCCCCAGTTCCAGGATGAGGCTCCTGGGGGGTGTTCCAGGGACACCCCGAGGCTCCACAACCAGCGCAGGGAATGTGGGATATCCCGGGGCTGCAGCAGGGTTATCCCCAAACATCATCCCGCTGCCTTCCTGGGATATATTAGGAAGGAATTCCTCCCTGGGAGGGCCGGGATGGAATTCCCAGAGAAGCTGTGGCTGCCCCATCCCTGCAAGTGTCCAAGGCCGGGTTGGAGCAATCTGGGAGAGTGGAAATGTCCCTGCTGGGTGGCACTGGGTGATCCTTAAGGTCCTTCCCACCCAAACCATTCCAGGATTCCATGACTGATCCCACGGCCCTGTTGTGGAGCCCCCTCCCCGCCCCTCACCTGGGCGATGTAGGCTCGGAACAGGAACACGTCCCTCTCCACCTCCTTCTCGGGGCTGGACGGCTGAAAACGGGAATGTTTGAGGGGTCTGTCCCCCAGAGAGCTCCTCACACACGAATCCCCCCCCAGACGAACCTCACACATCCCACCCCCCCAGCCCGGGAGAGCCCAATTTCCCCTCAGGGACCCCCAACCCCCTCCCGGGCCGGGTCGAGCGACCCTCAGGGCGCCCCAAACCCGGCGCTTTAAGGACCTCCCAGAAGACCCCCAAAGCACCGCCCGGCCCTCCCAGAGCCTCGCCGACCTTGGCGCGCTGCGCCTCGTTGATGGCGGCCTGGAAGGCGCCGATGTAGAAGTTGTTGCGGACGTCGAACAGCTCGTCCGCGTCCCCGCCCGGCGCCGCTCCGCTCCCGGCCGCCATCGCTCTCTCACACACGTACCCGGAAGCGCCCGCGCCCCGCGCGGGCCGCCGGGAGCCGCCGTTGCCATGGCGACCGCCAATAGGAGCGCGAGGAGCCGGCCGTCGCCATGGCGACCGCCAATAGGAGCCGTAAACGTCACTACAGCGACGCCGAGAGAACCCCTAAACACAGCGGTGTGGGCGGAGCTGGAGGGAGGTGTCCAATGGGCGGTGGTGGCGGCGGTGACGCCATCGGCGCGCGCCCGGGGCGGGGCGAGCACGTGGTGGAATCATGGCGGCGTTCCGGGAGCTCGGGATCTCGCCGTGGCTCGCGGAGCAGGCGCGGCAGGTCGGGCTCACCCGGCCCACGCCCGTGCAGGCCGCCTGCATCCCCGCCGTGCTGCAGGGTGAGACCGCGGCGGACCTTCCCAACCCCCGGAACGGGCATTCCCCGGCTCCTGGGAGCGGCCCCTCGCGACCCCCGTCCCAGCCCCGGGAATGGTCCCTGACCCCTCCCGTCCCATCCCCGGGAGCGGC